AGGAGCTAGCTTTACATGACACCAATACGGCCTCAGATGCGGCCAATACAACCTGGTGGCTCTAGCCGGAAGCAGGCAGGTAGCCAGGGCCATAGGGTGGCCTGGGTATGGCGACCTCATCCAACGCGATGGATTTTGCCGTTGAGGTGATGCAGGGCTTGGAGACGGAGGAGGTTGAGGCTGTCACGGAGACGATCAAGGCTGTGACGCTGGAAGGCGGCAGTGAAGAAGCCGCGGCTGTGGAGGCCAACCCGCTTCTGAGGATGATGGAGGAGAAGGGAGGGCCTGATCACATCGCGTGTGGGTCATGCGGGAAGTTCAGTAGCCACAGGCGCATGATCCGTTCTGGGCTGATTTGTTCAGAGAGCATGGTTGATGGCGAGGTCTTCAAGAAGTTCCTCAAGATCTGTTGCCGGTGCTGGCAGCAAGAGAAGAAGCTGGCAACTGGAACATGTGAGTTGGAGGAGGCCTGCAAGGATGTTCTGGAGTTCAACTCAAAGATGCAGACTGAGCGGTCGGACTGCTACAAGAGAGCCAAGGAGGCGGCGGCCAAGAGCGAGGGCAGTGTGCGGGAACGGAGGAAATTGCTGAAGGAGTACTGCCAGAGCTTCATCCAAGCGATCGTTGCCGCCGACCTGTTTGGCGCGCTGGCAAGCGCAGCTGCCAGGTATGAGAAAATCCTTGAGCACCGCAAGAGTTTGGAAGCCAGCCTCATGGCACTTGATCCCAACCTGATGGCAGAGGCCAAGGAACTTTCCCAGATGAAGGATTGGTCTTTGATCTACAGTGTGGACCAAGTTGCGCAGGTCCGCATGGCAGATGACCGGTTTGTCAAGCAGGTGAAGCTTGTTGATGAGAAGATCATGGAGCATGACCTTTTGTATGAGAACGAGGCCCAGGAGACAGTTGGTTTTCCTCTTTTGATTGTTTGTGCTTCCCATACGTAGCCGTAGTAGCTTTTCCTGCTTTGGTGTCTTGCGCCTCCTTGACCAAATGGTTTGACGTTTTTTGTCTTCTGGTTTCCATGCCTTGCTTTGCGCTTAGGCCTGACTTGACGCATACTAATGACAATCAGATTCTTTGTTGGGCCTAGATTGTAGAATCGAAAACATGCATGGCAGTGGTCATACTCACTCAGCCGTGTAGCCTTGTGGCGTGAGGCATTTGGAGGTGACCGGGGAACGCAAAAGGTGATGGAGTATGAGGACAGGATTGGTGTCACCAAGCAGGGAGAGCCAGTCATGATGTTGTTCTTCATGTGTCCTGGCTGTGGCATCTATATGGGCAGTAAGATGTGGAAGGTGTTCGGGGAGAACCTCACCTCCGGTCAGCGCTGGTATTGCGGCATCAACTGGGCAGAGTTCAATCGGCAGCATCCAAAGATGTTTGCGGACCTGCTGACAAGGCATGGGAGCCAACAGAGATTGGAGGAGGCGGTTGGGCATCACTTCTGTGGCCGCAGGTACCGACCTTTTGCTCATGGAGCAGCTGCGATCCTTGAATGGAAAGGCTCAGACGGAAAATGGTTTTGCATTCGGGCCGATCTTCCCCCTGAGCCGTTGATGATTGAGATCCAGAAGGTCCAGGAGGCTTTCACAACGGCTTGGCAAGAATTGTCTTACCAGGAGTTGTACGACAGCATTCCTCACACGCAGCCGAAGACCAACATTCTGCCTCTTTACCAAGTGCCCGGCATTGGCAAGTATGATTTGGAGGCTCATCGCAAGGCAGCTTCTCCAGTGATGGATCAACAGAAGTGGTGCCAATTGTGCATTGCGGTGGCTGAGCACAAGCCGGAGCTCTTTAAGGACTTGTTCTTGGTGGCAAAGAACTACAAAGCTCCAGTGTGAGGCAGCTAGCCGCGCATCGCGTTGGCAAAGTGAAAGATTTTTTAAAACAGCAGTCGTGTGTATCTAGCATCAGTTTTGAGCAACAGCCATAGCTGGTCCATCCTACAAGCCATGCGATGCTGCAGTTCAGGATCCCAGTGCCTTTCGGGCTCCCACGCTGGTGACTGGCTTCGTCTGGGGCCCATTGTCGTTCAATTCTGCCTCTGGCAATGGA